TTGTTTCAACTAGATAAGACCCTTATTCCTCAGCTGGGATCGTGTAGAGCTCTTTGAAGCTGTATTGAAGCAGCAAATTTGGACCTTCAACCCATTGGTCCCTATTGAAATCCATTATATGGATTAAAATCCTGGAATGTTTTCCTCAAAAACCTTAAAGGGGTCATATGATGCGATTTCAATTTTTCCTTTCTCTTTGAAGTGTTACAAGCTCTTGGTGCATAAAGAAGATCTGTAAAGTTGCAAAGACTAAAGTCTCAAATCCAAAGAGATATTCTTTATAAAAGTTCAGAGTCAACCACGCCTACCTAAAACAGCTCTTTCTAACACGCCCCCACATGTCTACGTCACGATGTGGGAAGATTTGCATAATGCCGCCCAAATGTTCACGCAAAGAAAGAAGGCGTAACTTTTATTCTCGCTGTAGTATTGTTGCTGCCGCCATGTTGTGAAGGCGCTGTGTGTTTCGTTGTGAAAGTGAAACTACTTTGTTTGGTCTTCCAAAAGAGGACACGACTAGAAATCAGTGATTAAGTTCTATTTACAACACTGTTCCAGAACAGTTCAACCCAAATATTCAGATGTGTGCAGCACATTTTATGGAGGACTGTTTCCTGATCCTGGTAGAGTAGACTACAATGTTCTGACTCAAGTGAGTTCTGACTCACAGACTGTAAGTACGTTTTTTATATATAAAGAATTTGCCACTGACGATTCAAACGCGAGTTTTGAGCAGTGTAGAGTAGCACTTGTTGTTTGTCATTTCTCCGATCACAAATGCAGACATGGTTTTATGTTTACACGGCGCGATGCAACGCAACGCGTAAAAAGACAGTACAAGTCATTATAATCCGTAATTATGTCCCCACTGGATGCAACAAATGCCTCATTTATAATGGGTTTTAATGTTTTTGTCTCGTCCCTCCGGCCGGACAGGGCATCACAGTATGGTAGGGCCGTAACATTTCCGTCACACGCTTGAGGTATTCGGCCAATCACATCGCACTGGATAGCTGGCCAATCAGAGCACACCTCGCTTTTCAGACCGATGAGCTTTGTAAAAATCGATGCGTTTCAGAAAGGCGGGGCATAGAGGAGAAACAATAATGTACAGTATGTGGAAAATAATGTGTTTTTTGAACCTTAAACCGCATAAACACATTTCATTACACCAAATACACAAAATAATGTTCTTTTTAGCAACATCATATGACCCCTTTAATTTCTTTGCAACTGAAGAAAGAAAGGCATGAACATCTTTGATGACATTGGGGTGAGTAAATTATCAGGAAATTTTTATTCCTGAAGTGAACTAATCCTTTAATGCATCCTTTCTTAATAGAAGTATTAATTTCTTTAAAAAATAAAAAAAAAACCTACCCCAAACTTTTTAACGTATTGCCTTCTTAATCTTACCTCCCCAATATTTCATATCAGCTTCCTGCAGAAGATGAAGTCTTGCTGCAGAAACTCAGAGAAGAATCGAGGGCAGTGTTTCTCCAGAGGAAAAGCCGGGAACTACTGGACAATGAAGAGTTGCAGGTAAGAGAGCATTTTTTGGGGCCTGTGTCCCAAACTAAACAATCATTATCTGTTTTAGTTTAGTTATTAAATATGTTTGTGTTTTGTATTTCCTCTTCTAAATGTTTTTTTTTTTCTTTCCGACAGAACCTTTGGTTTCTTCTCGACAAGCATCAAGTGCCGCCCACGACCAGTGACGAGGCCATGATCAGTTATGAGAGTTTCCTAAAGGTTGGAGAAAAAGCAGGCGCCAAATGCAAGTAAGTGCATCATAGAAAAGTGTATAGTGATCAATTAGCTTCACTCAAAACCATGAGTTTGACGGGCTGATAACTGTATTCTAAGTCAATGTAATTCGTAGGTGGACAGTGCTCATGACTCACTGAGATGTTTGTTTCACGATCATTACACCCCATCAGGCTTTTCTTCACTGCCAGAGTCTACGCCAAACTGCTTCATAATGATCCATATGGGAGGATATCAATAATGCAGTTCTTCAACTATGTCATGAGAAAAGGTAGTTTTAAATTCTGTGCTCATCTCATGACGTCAGTTAATTATGCGTCTTCTAGTTCTTTTTAATGACTATGAACATAGTAATACAGATGTGTAGATGAATCACGTGTTCATCTGCGTTTCTTCTCTGGCAGTGTGGCTGCACCAAACCAGGATTGGTTTGAGTCTTTATGATGTAGCAGGTCAGGGTTATCTCCGTGAGTCTGTAAGTGATCTAATTTTACCCCCTGAAAAACATTAAAAATCACAGTATCTTCTTTGGAGTAAAGCTGTATTGTTTAACACAAAGACTTTCTTTCTGCAGGATTTGGAGAACTACATTCTAGAGTTAATTCCTACACTTCCCCAACTAGATGGCTTGGAGAAATCCTTCTACTCGTTTTATGTTTGCACAGCCGTTCGCAAGTTCTTCTTCTTCCTTGATCCTCTACATACTGGTAATTCTCCTGTGGTCGTGTCGTTTTTTACAATTTGCCTTTTAATTTAAGTCAGAGCACCTGTAGACATTATTTAGATTTTACCTTGCGGAAAAACTGGAATGAAAAGAAGCATTCTAATGTTTTGTACATGCTCTGCAGGGAAGATAAAAATTCAGGACATCCTAGCTTGCAGTTTCTTGGATGATCTACTTGAGGTAGCGTATGGATTCTTGCTCAAGCGAACCTATATTACCAATATAAAATATCTATATACACTACTTTTAAAACGTTTGGGGTCGGCAGGAGTTTTAATGTTTTTGAAATAATTATACTCGCCAAGGCTGCATTTGTTTGATCAGAAACACAGTAAAACAATGATATTGTGAAATATTACAATTGAAAATTACTGTTTTCTATTTGAATATATTTTAAAGTGTAATTTATTTCTGTGATGCAAAGCTGTTCAGTATCACATGATCCTGCTCAAGAAATGTTTCTTAATTTTATTAATGTTGAAAACAGTTGTGCTGCTTAATATTTTTGTGGAAACTGTCTGTGATATATTTTGTCAGGATTCTTTGATTAATAGGAAGTTCAAAAGAACAGAATCTGTAACATGATGCTAATCAGATTTATTCATTTATAGCTTCGAGACGAGGAGCTGTCCAAGGAGAGTCAGGAGTCCAACTGGTTCTCTGCACCTTCTGCTCTTCGAGTTTATGGTATGCCTGCAAAATACACTTAATCAATGTTATATAAGTTAAATCTCCTGTGTTAATCATCATATGTCCTTTTTACAGGTCAGTACCTCAACCTGGATAAGGACCATAATGGGATGCTCAGTAAGGAAGAGCTGTCTCGCTATGGCACAGGAACTCTAACTAGTGTTTTCCTAGACCGCGTCTACCAGGAATGCCTAACCTACGATGGCGAAATGGTATAACACTCTGACTTCATTAATGATTTACATTACACTAAGAGTTAGATGGGAGAAAATCCCTTATAACAAATGTTGTCTGCTGTCAAAATTATATCTTTGTGGGCAGGGAGAACTGAGTTCAATTCCTGTTTTCAGATATACATGTACACTACTGTTCAGATGTTTGGGGTTGGTAAGATTTTGAAAGAAGTCTCTCATGCTCACCAAGGCTGCATTTATTTGATCAAAAATGCAGTAAAAAATGTTAAATATTATTCAAATTTAATATAACTGTTTTCTATTTTAATATATTTTAAAATGTAATAAATTCCTGTGACGTCAGAGCTGAATTTTCAGCAGCCTTGATTTGGTTATCAAGAAACATTTCTTATTATTATCTATGTTGAAAACATTTGTGCTGCTTAATCATTTTGCAGAAATCGTGATTAATTTCTTTAAAAAAAAAAAAAACCTTACTGACCCCAAACTTTTAAACCGTAGAACTTTTGACTTTGAACATGAAAAAAAAATTGTGAATGTTATTATGTTACTCTGGAAAAAGACTTGAATACAGCCAAGCAGGCATTTGCCACTGAAAACAGGCATATCATATTCTTATATGCATGGAATTTCCTACATGATATCCATAAAAATGTTCAGTATCTAAAAACATAAACATGCATTTTTTATGAACTAAACCCCCACCATTTAGGACTATAAGACATATCTAGACTTTGTGCTGGCTCTAGAGAACAGGAAAGAGCCTGCGGCCCTCCAGTATATATTCAAACTGCTGGACATGGAAAACAAAGGCTCCCTCAATGTATTTGCCCTCAACTACTTCTTCAGGGTAAGGAATCGTTTTTGAAATCAAGCAAAAATATTTGTTGGCTTTTATGTAAATGTGCATTTTATATATTTATACTAAGCAGAAACTAACCTATTCATCTGTGATATCAGGCCATTCAGGAACAAATGAAAATCCATGGGCAGGAGCCGGTTTCCTTCCAGGATGTTAAGGTAAATGACCTTTATATAATAATAATGCAATCTATCAACAAGTAGAGAAGTGGGCGTTTTGAGAAGGGTCTGGCTGCAGCCTTGTGCTTGCACTCTCAGACTTACATTCTCAGACTTGCACTCTCAGACACTTATTGAATTTGATATTTTAATAGCATCTTAATACATTAAGCCATGTTAAGTGTTTATGTTTTTTTCTACGGGAGGAAAACGCTTAGCGAGAGACTTTGCGCATTGCGTTCATATTCTGCTGTTCTGTGGCCTCGGATTTGCGAGTCTTATCTTTTTCTCCTACAGATGGCTTGCCGGACCCTGTACGTTATAGTAAAAAATTAGTTTTAATCGTTTAATCACCACCACAGCGTCTTGTCTCCACTGGCAACACGCACGATTTGTGTCGATTGCAAGTGACGTCGCAGGTATCGGAGAGTGCAAGTGGCGATTGCAAGTGACTTCGTAATTTAGTTTCTTTTGTCTTGTCTTCACCACCTGGCTACTGTTGTAAAATGTTGAGAGATTCAAACAAAAAGAATAAATAAATAGAACAAAATAAAAAAATAAAAGACTGCAAGTGACGTCGCTAGCGGAAGCGCAAGTGTCTGAGAATGCA